TTATTGAAGATTCAATAAGATTACCATTAAGAATACCATTAAGAATAGCTATCTTTTGTCTTTGATTTTAGGACTTCTTGATCAACTCAATCAAGCAAAGATCTATACCAAAATAGATCTACGAGGAGCATACAACTTAATTCGTATCAAAGAAGGAGATAAATAAAAGAATATTTTTGAAGTAGATATGGATATTTTAAATATAATGTCATGCCTTTTGGACTCACGAATGCAATGGCTACTTTTCAATATCTTATGAATGATGTTTTTTTTGAATTTCTAGATGATTTTGTTATTTGTTATTGAGACGACATTCTAATCTATTCTAAGAATATAGGAGAATATGAACTTCATATTCGTCGTGTGTTACAAAAACTTAAAGGAGTAGGATTATATGTTAAGTTAGAAAGTATATATTCTATACTAATCAAATTAACTTTTTAGGGTATATTATTCCAACAAAGGCCTTGTGATAGATCCCAAAAAGGTCCAAACTATTATAGATTGGAAGATTTCAAGAATAGTATGAGATGTGCAATGTTTTTTAGGCTTTGCTAATTACTATCAAATCTTTATCAAGAATTTTTCTCAAGTTGCAACTCTACTTACATGTTTGACTTGTAAAGACAAACTTTATTGGAATAAAAAAGTAAAAGCATCAAATGAGAATTTTTATATTTGAGCAATAAAATCAACATTGACTGTTGATTCAACCTTTGTCAAGCAAATTCAATCAAATATGTCCTTTGATCCTCTTGTTCATAATATTAAGAATACTTCTTCTAAGTCCTATGGAACTTCAAAGTTTGAGTTCAAGAATAACTTACTATATTTCAAAGATTACTTATATATTCCAAAAGGTGAGGCACAATTACGTGTCCTTCAAGCTTATCATAATTTTCCAGTAGCCGAATATTTTGGATATAATAAGACTTTGGAGCTAATATCAAGAGATTTTTAGTGGCTTCAAATGTAGAAGGTAATTAAAGACTTTGTACAATCATGTGATACTTTTTCAAGATCCAAAAATCCTTGCTATTGATCTTATGGATTGCTTCAATCATTACCTATTTTAAAGCAACCATGGTCTTCTGTTTCTATGGATTTTATTACAAATCCAATCTCAAGTTCATATGATTTCGTATTTATAATCGTAGATTACTTCACCAAAATGGCACATTTTGTACCATGTATAAAATCTATTTCAGGTGAAGAAATAGCTAAGCTTTTTATTGACAATATCTATTGCTATCATGGATTGCTAAAAGATATTATATTGGATAGGAGGACTCAATTTGTATCAAGATTTTGGAGAACCTTATTCAATATTTTAAAGGTGGATATAAAGTTTACTTTGGCTTTCATCCTCAAACTAATAGGCAAACGGAACGGGTGAATCAAATTTTGGAACAATATTTGAGATGTACTATCAACTATCATCATGATGATTGAAAAACTCTTTTGCCATTAGCAAAGTTTTCATACAATAATTTGATACATTCTTCTATTCAACAAACACCTTTCTTTACTAATTATGGTTATTATCCATGATTTGATACTTTTGACTTTTCAAAAGTTGATAATCATGCGACAAAAGATTTAGCAAATCATTTATCAGAGCTACATGCAACAATGAAGATATAATTAAAAGAAGCTCAAAGATGGCAAAAGACCAACATGGATGCCTATTGCAAAGAGTAACCACAATTCAACATAAGTGACAAGGTATGGTTAATTCGATGCTATATCAAAACTACTTATCCTTGTGATAATTTGGACTATCATAGGCTGAGACCTTTTTCTATTTGTGAACAAATCAATCCTCTTGCTTATTGATTACATCTACCGGAGTCTATGAAGATCTACCTTATATTTCACATGTCCCTTCTTGAGCCATATAAGATAGTGAATATTTTGGAAATGAGAGAAATACCACCTCCTCCTATAGAAGTAGATAACAATCAAGAGTTTGAAGTAGAAGAAGTCTTAAACTCAAGGTGGCGCCAAAATAGGTTAGAATATCTTGTTCATTGAGGCGGATATGATATTATTGAATGCATATGGGAGCCATCAAAGAATCTTGCAAATGTTACAAAGAAAATTGAAGCTTTTCATCAACAAAATCCATCAAAACTAAGATGAAGAATAACAAATCTTTGCTATAAAAGAAATAAGATCAAGAAAGATAACATTCCTTCTATCTTTCTTTGTAACTTGTATGTATTTGTGATGCTAAAGAGATAGAAAATCAACAACCAACAGATTCAACTGAAGAGTTTTTATATGCAAACTTATCAAATAAAACATTGCAATTGTTATAACCTTCAAGACGATGAAATCAAGATGAAGATCTTCAAGAATGACATGTCTTTCTTCAAATAGATGGCGAGATACAACGTGTTTAGTATTACGACCTTGGAAGAGACTTCCCTTGTTTGCTGATTTTATTAGAGGTAAAAACAACTCTTGATGATGTTTCAACTATTTTATTTGAGAGAAGTTATAAAGGCTTCAACAACGACCAAATAATAAGGTGGTCTTCTTGCTTTAGTATAGAACACTATCGATGGCTGAGAGGGTGTATCAACCATCTTTGAAGAGAGCAAAGATCAAAATATGTAGCAAATATAATTCGCCGCATCTTGAACTTCCTCAACATACAAAGATCGCTCCTCATGGAACTCATCTCTAGAAGGAGGGGTAATATCATGAATATATCTATATATATATATATATATATATATATTTATATATATATATATATATATATATATATTTATATATATATATATATTTATATATATATATATTTATATATATATATTTATATTTATATATTTATATATATATATATTTATATTTACATATATATATTTATATTTATATATATGTATATATTTATCTCAATAATTACTTATATAATTAGGTAGAAGTAGGTAAATATAGATAATTTCATAAAGTCTTTTAGTGAATCTTCCTAGAAACTTCATAGATGTAATTTTGATTTTAGATATGTTTATAGATTGGAAACTTAGCCAACAAGTTAACCACGTGTTGGTAGCTTGTGGAACAAGTTAACTCTATATAGTAGCTTATGGAATAAGCTAACCATATGGCACATACATAGATAACTTGCCTTGTAAGTTAAGTCATGTGGTTAGCAAAGTCAACATGTTTTGGAGGTCCTACATGACATTGCCACATAGTTCCTAGTTAAGAGTATATATATGGAAGCAAGAATGAAGCCTTCTTCACCCTTATCAATGTTGTTCTAATCCTTAGTCTTGTTTCAAGACTTTCTAGTCCTCTTTTTTTTGGCAATAGCCATTCTATTTAATATTATATTACCTTTTGAGTGACTTTCTAATTCTCTTCAGTGACATAAGAGTGTATTGAAGATTCTCTTTCTTTGAGATTAATGTCCCTGACATCTACTTGCTTCCTTCAACTATACAACTTTTTGACGTTGACTTTGAACTTCTTTCATAGGCATAGGAATAGTACCTCCATGATTCATATTAGAAATATATGAAATTTCAACTCTTAGATTATTGACAAGCTCATAAAGATGTACAATAGTTGCAAATCTATTTTCACTTCTACTAAGAGTAACATCCATAATTTTTTCTTCCATAGAAAATTCAAATAAATTCAAAAAGTTAAATTAGAGGAGGATAATTTGCAATCTCTAATATCAAATGAAAATTTCTATAAAGAGAGATAATCTGTTCTCTTTAAAAAAAAATCAATATTAAAAAACAAGATTATTTGTTTAAAAGATAAGTAGTCCGCAATCTTCAAAACACAACAATAGAAGTAAGATGATCCACTCACTTCTAAAATAGGACAAGAATAATAAGTTAGCATTCTCGTGAAACTATCAAAGATATGAATCTCAAAGAAAGAAAATCTCAATACACTCTTATGTCACTTAAAAAGACTAAGAAATTACTCAAAGATGGTAGTATATTGAATCAGAATGGCTATTGTCAATGACAAAAAGACTTAAAAGTCTTGAAACAAGACTAAAGACTAGAAAGACATTGATAAGAGTAAAGAAGACTTCACTCTTGCCTCTATGTATACTCTTAACTAGGAGCTATGTGGCGATGTCTTACAAGACCTCTAAAACATGTTGACTTTACAAGAGACGTATCTCAACTTGCAAGGCAAGTTTTCTATATGTATACTATATAGTTAGTTTATCTCACAAGCTACCAACATGTGATTAACATGTTGACCAAGTTTCTAACCTACCAATTAACTACAAACACATATAAAGTCAAAGCAATGTCTATAAAGCTTCTAAGAAGTTTTTTTAGAAGATATTATGAAATCAATCTACTCTTACCTATTTCTACTTAATCATATTGATAAATATTAGAGTAAGTATGTATGTCCATGACACTTTATGGTATTCTTTTAAATTAAATACAATTCTTCTACACAAATTATTTACTTAATTCTATAAATATTTTTTTTTAAATTACATAATTATTATTATATATTTTTAAATCTCTTTGATGCTTGCACAAAAAAAAATAGTCTACTCTTAATTTTTTTAAATAAGCTAAATATAAAATTGAATTCTTGTCAAAATATCATAGAATCAACTTTAAATAAAATCCCCAAAATACAACCTGTTCATGTTCGTCTGTGAAATAAATGGAAGATAAAGAACTCCGAAGCACCCAAAAAAAAAAAACAAAAACAAAAACAAAAAAAAATCTAGAAAACAATCATACAAACAAATCAAACGAACAGAAATGGACATGGCACACAGAAGGTTATCAAAACATCAACAAGCCAATCAGCAATCAAAGCAATACAATGTCATTGAGAAATTCACATAATACAATCTCATGAATCATTGTAATAATAGAATGCGGGCCCTGTTTTCTGGGCTCCCTGCAGTTGCAGACTGGGAACTGGCCACTGGTACACTACTCCGGGGAACATGAGAGAGATAAAGAGGATGTCATCGCAATTCTAGTGGTGGAATTTAAGTGTGCAGATGGAGTTGCTGTGAACCATGTTGATCATGCACACCTCACGCTGCTTTTTGTCGTCTTCGCTTTAAGAACCTGCAACAAAGCTCAGAGATTGCGCCATCGCTGTGTTGCAGAAGAGACTTTTGAGAGATTTCTGTGCACATATTTGTCACAGGGTCGGCTGTGGAGCTGATTTTGAGTCTGTCTTGTTACATCGTGGGCCTTGGACTGGAGTTGTAGAGAACCGCAGAGGCGAAAATGGCTTCAATCGGTAGCACTTTAGGCACTGGAGGGGGTATACGCATTCGCCGTGTTGATCCCCACGATGCCATGCCACTGGCAACGATGATTTCGGATTCTTTTCTGGCGTTCAATCAGAGCGTGAATATTCCACCCCATGTGGATGGTTTCACTTTGGAGACGTCTAGGGACTTGATGAAGCATTTCACGTCCACGCCCACGATGTATGGTGTTGTCGCTGTGGAGGAGAGCTCCGGTGCCTTAATGGCGGGCGGGTTTATGTACCCAGGTTCTATCACCTCCATACTCTCATCTGCTAGCCTGTAGCTCACATTCTTCTCCGAGGATGTTGAAAATGTCTGTGAAGCAATCGCTAATGGAAGAGAGGATATCGATGCAATATTCACTGACTCTTACACCGAGTGTGGGATGCGGTGGGGTGGATAGGGGATGTGTATGCAATTGGCCCCGTCTTTGCGGACAATGCTTTTAAGGGAAGAGGAGCTGGCAAAGCCGTGATGGTTGCGTTGATAGAGAAAGTCAGGAGTGAGAATGCGAAGTCTATTCGTTTGTGTCAGGTAATAAGCCGCCACTGCTTTGAAAATTGCCCTCGTAGAATTGATTATGTTCTCATTGTATTATTTTACTAACAATGTTGTGGGTATGCTCTCATTGTGTTGGAGGATGTTATGCAAGTATGAGCGACCTGATGATTGATTGAACATGGCCGTGTTTTACAAGGTCGCGGCCAACCCTATCAGTTTTGGTCTGTATGCCAGTTTGGGTTTCGTTCCAGTAGAATGCTGGATGGACCTTGAGGGAAATGTGACAACTGAGGAAGCCTCTTCCGCCAATCGGTCCTGTGGGTTTTCTCCTGTCACAGGTAGCTTGAACATAATTGCTGTACTGCAACTGCAATTTAAATGCGTTGATCCGTCAAACCGAATCCTGGATATGATATCCCCAAAAGTTCGACATTTCAACGGTTGAATGATTTAGACTTCGTTTCTCCAAGTCTGGCCCGTGCTCGAGCTTTGAACATGTGCAATGCTACTATCAATAGCATCTTAATCGCGTTTCGAACTTCTGACCAGTTCTTTCTCGATTCCAGGTGTAGACGTGCGTAGAATGGAGGAAGCAGACGTGAAATGCTGCAATGAGCTTCACAAAAAGACAATGGGCTTTGATCGTGAACAGAGAATTAGAATGGATATTCCAAACGGTGCTGCATGGGTCGCAGTGAGAGCTGGAGAAATCATGTGAGTGCCTTTCACCGAGTCTCTATCAAATTTGTCCAACTTAAGTTCAATTCGTGAATTCCAACCGCCATTGAGTAGTCCAAGATGGTTTCCAGCAACGACGTCGAATTGTCCAGCAATGGCTTTGAAAGACACCAGAGCTACTCACAAGCTGACTCACCTCGCCATCCACCATGACAGAATGCCCATATTAGTTTTGTAGCTTGATCGCACATGAAGCCTACTGCTAAAAGGTTCGTTCTTTACGTTCAGAGCTTACACAACAGGCTTCATCTTGTCTGGACACACTGTGGCCGAGTCCGAGGAAGTCCTGGCTTTCATGTTCACCGAGGTTTGCCATAAGACTGAAAATGCATCGGTCCCAAAGAATTTACACGTGCCTGGCCGTCTGTATCCACGTCTTTTGCAATGGGCGATTGCTGCTAAGCTGAAAATGATGCGGTGAGCCCTAACTCTGGTGCTGCATCCAATTTTTTGCTCGTCGGTCACGGCGTGTGTGGCTCGTATATTGCATTCTACTACTGGCCTTGAACATCTGGTGGAAAACCAAACTCCAGCGCCGGAAACTGAGTTGGTTCGGCGTTGTACCAGACCTGTCGGTGTCTGAAGCAGCAATTTTCTTTGAGTGATGTGTGTGTGTGTGAGTGAGAACTAGCATTTGAGTTTGAGAACTGTGTATATATGTGTGTATGCGAATAAACATTGTGTGTTCGAGTAATATGTGTGTGCGTGTGTGTATGAATTTTGCAGGAGTTGTTGGTTAATGGTGATCGGCTCCTACCTCTCACCTCAGAGTGGCATGGTCTACTGCCCAAGCATAGAGGGTTAGTCCAGCTCGTAATTCTGAGCTCCATCCCATGTTCTTAAACCCATCGCATGCGGTTTATGTACCATGTTTTTTTTAGTACTTTTGGAATGCTTCATCCTATTTGCAGTTTCTTAAATATTTTTGTATACATTTAAATTCACACTCATTCATTGTTTTTATATATATATATATATATATATATATATATAATATTAATAACTTATTATGTTTGGAAGATTCTTGACTATATTATTTGTATTGTAATTTATTACTACAATTTATAATAATTTATCATTGCAATAAATAGCAGTAGCAATTAATAGCAATAGCTTCAAGACTATCAATTTTAGAATCACTAATAGTTTATGATAGTAGAGTCAACATGGATGGTGTTACAAACACTTATGTAAATTATAAAACAGCATTTGTTAAAATAATAATTTATGATATCCTCTCTAACAGAATTACAATGTCAAGTCCAATATATTCAATCTCTCATTCTATTTACCAATTCACCAAGTCAATCGTGCACCATTCACGTTAAAAAAACACCCTCCAACCAGTAAAAATCTAATAAAAGATCCAATCACTTAAACCACAAAGAGGCCGACGATTGCCATACCATCACAAACGGGGGCGCAGACTCTGCACAGCAGCATAACCAACACCAAAAATCAACGCCGCAACCTGCGTTGACTTTTGGTGTCGGTGATAGTCTGAGTTGAGCATTACGCCATGCATCAGTTACAGTGAAATGATCTTTTCACAGAATGCATGTGGGCTCGTGACGGTTTTAGGGTTTCTGAGCCTCACAGTTGCTGTCTCCGTCTGCGTAATGGATGCTCTGATTGAGAACTTCTGCTGAATCACGTTGTTGTAATCACGACTATGGTGTGTTCGTATTTCTAGCATATCTCTACTGGACTCTACTCAACAGAATCAGCTTGACACTGTAGCAAGCTCGCAGACGTTAAGAACCTGAGCTTCCTTTTTTCGAGTGCGTGACGTCAGGAAACGTGATTCTACGATGAGATCGGTGAGTTCATACAGGGCTCGGAATCCTGGATTTCATCTGCCGCTTACTCCGATGCCTCCCTCACGGATTATTTTGGGGATTAATGAAATAGACTAGGGGCAAAAAAAGCGATTATGCTTAACTAGATTGTCTATGCAGCTCGGCTGAAGCAGAGGAGGTTTAAGTTACTGCTGCAGCGCAATGAGGTTCATGAGCTGGATGGAAGAGGCGGGAGGAAGAAACCTAGGCTGAGAAGCATGCGTTTGGAATCGCACCGCAACTCTCATCCAGGATTCTAGATTCAGGTCTGGCTTCTGGCGCACAAGTCCTTTGCTGTTTATTAGAAAAGAAATTGTTGATTGATTAGTTGCCACATGTGGGAAGATCTATGTTTTTTTCGGTTTTAATCTGTATTACGCTTTTGTTGTCAACTGGATCGTCAACCATGGACTAGAATCCTCCAGTTTCTCTATCATCTCAGCTGAGCGACTAAATCTCTCTTGTGAAACCCAATATAGTAGCGCAGTACTACTGCTCGGAAGATAATCAGGGGCGAACCCAAGCACTGCACTAAAAACCAGCTACAGAAATAGCTGAAGAAATCTAGAGTGGATGTCTAAATGCGAGGCAATTGGGGATGATAATACGGAAAGTGAGGGGGAGACAAAAAAAAGGAAAGGACGGAAATTAGAATCGAAATTGTCGTGTATGAGTCCACTGTGGACAATCTTTCACGATTGACCTGGAATGTAGAGAACAATGATTCTCCTTCCCCGTCAGCGGATGTGGGCCCGGGGAGAGGGCGGAGATGTGGTGAACAGAATTGGGTTATAGTTATTTTTAATGCAGCACTCTAACTGTCAACGAGGTCCACTTCTTTCATGAATGCCACCGATCACCTCCACCATCCATCCACCCCGCCCAGAATATTCCCCCTTCTCTGCAATCTACTTGTCAAGCTCGTGTGCTCACTGCCCACTCACAGCCCCTCCCACAGATTCTTCCGTCTAAACTCTGACGATCTTGTTGAATTGAATTAGCACCAGTGGATTGCCAAGGGAGCTAGCTGTGAAAGGGAAGCCCTGGGGATGACCGCCATATCGAGCGATTTCTCTGCGGTGAATTAGTGTTAGTTTTTTTCGCAGCATTCAGCTGAAAAGGTTTTGGGTGAGTTGGGTGAGTTGCGGTGGGGTAAGGGTGAGGATGATGGCCATGGCAGCAATCGCCGGGACGCAATGGGCAGGGTCGTGGGCGCAGCAGAGAGGGGATGCGGTTGATGCAGAGAGAATTTTAAGTGGGAAGAGCATATTTCAGACGTTGAGAGTGGCGTGGAGTGTCCAAGACCAAGCGCTGCGGCAGCGCTGCAGTCTTCTCAGGGTGACGGGGCTGAGTGGTTCGTGTGGGAGACCGGGGCGGAAATGCTTCAGAGTGACGGCTCAATCGGAGGTGGTTAGTTCTGTTTTCATCCCTTTTTGAGTTTGCTACATGGGAATTGACGCCACTCCTCCTGCCGAATGTGTTGTCTATTTTAGGGTAAAGAATTCCACTCCACGAACTGCTGAGTGACGAAACACCCTGGCCTCGACCTCGCTACAGCAATTTCGCATTTCGCATTGTCAAGTCTACTTGAGCAGCTGCGAGTAATTAAAACAGTAAGAAAGCATCGTGCGTGGTGGGCGTTGCACGTATAATTTCTGCACAGAGACTTGCCCGGAGTTTGAGGGATGACAACTGAACGTGTCCCATTTAATGTAGGATGACGTGGCTATGGAGACGGCGTTGAGGGCTGAAGATTCTCTTCAAGCAGAGCAACCTGCATCAGGAGCCTCAGATTCCGAAGGTAATTTTCGCAACGGAAAGTGAAACGAACCACCCCCACATCCATGTAGTCTCTTTCAGAAGTTCTTGCCACTTCATCAAATACAAAATGGTGTAGCGCTGAGCTTGGGTTTGTATTCATGCGAGTGCCGACTGATGTGCGTCCTTAGGTACGATGGTGAAGGTGCGTTTTGAGCTTCAAAGAGAATGCCAGTTCGGACAGCAATACAAAGTTGTGGGTGATGATTCTCAATTCGGTGACTGGAACCCTAGTGCGGCTATTCCCTTGAACTGGACTGAAGGCCATGTGTGGACTGCTGAAGTGGTTAGAATCCCTGCCCTTCTCTTCCCCACCTACATTTCATGTTGAATAATCGTACCAAATTACTTACGCAGTAGGGGCAAGACATTTTATTGGACGTGGGCTCGTTGTGATGACAGAGTGTACCTGAAGGGAAAAATATTGAGTACAAATATATACTAATATCCGGTGAAGAAGGGGAGGTTGAGTGGCAACCCGGATCAAACCATGTGCTGGAAACAGTGACTGGAGCTCCCTCCCTTGTGCTTTCGCCACCATGGGAGGGAATCACGCAATTCGCCGAGCCTACAGAATCCACGTCTGATCAGCTTCAGGAGGTGCAAAGTAGCAATCAGCCTGAGGTTCAAAGTGCTGCACCTGATACTGGGGATTGGGAATCTACTCGTGAGGAAGCAAATGCGTCAGTTGAGAAAGTGGCGGATGCGGTAGCTTTTGCTGCTGCAGGTGCCGTCGAAGCAGGGGTAAAGGCCGCATCTGTTTTAGAGGGAAACTTGGATTCCGTTGCAGAGGATAGGACTCGTACTGCGGTTGAAGTTCCTGTTGTTAACGTAGCTCTGGCTTCCGTTGTCGACGCCGCGCTTGTCACAACCACTGCTACACCTGCTGAGGAGGTGAGAGGAGAGAGCAAAGAAACGCAAAAAGACAACCTCCAATGATGCATTGAGGTGATGGAATGCTTGAGGATGTGAACGGTTCCAATCTGAACTAAGTACCGCTTGTGGGACCTTGCAGTGCTGCCAAGTCTGCTGGTCGCTGGGTTTCCTTTTTACTTCTTATTCTTATTCCCCTTCTCGTCTTTCAGTTTAGCTACTGTTGAATATCCTTAGAGCTGGAGGTTTTCCAATTTAGTAAATTGACTTGGCGTTTAGCGGGTTTCGGTATGATATCAAAATCAGTCGTGATCATAATGAAGTTTGATGGCGGGTGTCGCGTTGAGCTTTAACGTAGTAACTTTTGCATGTGGAGTCCTGCCAGACGCACGCATGTCGTTATCAATGAACTTCAAAGTTTGAGTCTCTGTTTCGTTCATTTCTGTGGAGATATTGATTTCGAAGGTCGAACGTCATTCCTGGTCAACCTTGTTGAAGCATCTGGCAATTGGACCAAGGACTTTGCAGTTTATGATTTAAGGATACGAAATATAAGCAACGTTGTGCTGATAGTGAGGTTTCCATACTTGTTAACAGCTCAACTAACTAGCATGCCTTGGAATCCACATTTCTGTTGTGGAATCTGACCTCAACTTTGTGATGGCAGCCCACAACTACGAATGGAGCTGCAGCAACTGCAGACACTGCAACGGAAAAGGAGCATATCAAAGCAGAGGAGCAGATCAGAAAGGATGAGGAGCAGCTAAGTAGAGTAGATCAACCCAGCATAGACAATCTGCAGCTCAGAGCAGAGGAGGAGCAAAATGCTCCGAAGCGCCTGAACCCATTTCAGAAAGATATGGAGTGGTTGTCTAAGACCCTCTTTGGTAGGTGATGGCGGATCTGTCCACTCAAATGGCACAAAACTGAGTATTAGATTTGAGCTTTGGAACAAGGGACAAATGTCACAGTGACCCCTTTGGAAGACTACCCTCTTATATTTTTCAGGGCTGAATTCCTTTTCCTAGCTGCTGCTGCCCCCTGTTCCCCCTTTTTGAGTCAATCTGTGTGGCATTCAAACCAAAGCTGAAAAGATAACTTCAACTGCACTGCTGTGCGGGATGCTCATCTATTTTACTGTATTGTAACGCATTCCAAACGATTTGAGGGAGTTTTAACTCATTTTTTGCTACACTGTGTTTACAGCTTATACTGCGTCATATCAGAAGTGGCTTTGCAGCATGTTTGTTACATCGAGAGTAAGTGGGATGACAACGGTTCTCTGGCACATGCAGGTGCAGAAACTTCGACGAGTGAGGGGAGAAACAACACAAAATAAATTTAAAAACAAAACGAAACAAAACAAACATTGAACAAGTCATGCTCAAGTCATGGACAAGTCATGATTCGTGCTTCAGAAATAGGGCTAGTTAACTTGCTTGAGGCCATGGTTGAAATGGCCTCTTGGGTCGGAGTAAAATGCCATTGTGAACCTGCGTTCAATGTCGGTATGTTTTGTGCATATGTAGGCAGATTATTCCTCAGAGGGTTACTCAAGAGTAATTATAAAGGCAACGTTCCTTAGTATACTTTTTGAAATTCCACTTAATTTGTACAAGTCAAACAAAACATATTTGATTTCACGCTTACACTATGCCAAAAATAAAAATATATTATAGAGGATGAAATCTTCTTACAGAAGTATAACAACTATGAATAAACTTGCAAATTAAGCACATTCAAATGGATCTAAGACTTATGGTGATTTTTATGCTTAGTAGCCTGTTTTGAATTATAGCTTGACTTTTAAAAGCTGTAATTGAAAAGCTTAACACAGGCTCTCCGCTTGATGAGAAAAAAAAAACTCAGCCTTGATTTTTGTATATTATAAAAAGTAAGAAGAGGTCATAAATCAAACCAAAATTTTTTTTTTACTTCAAGTCTAAATATCTTCAATATCTTTATTTGAACAATATTGAGTAGTATAAAACTAGTCATTTAAAAATAAAAATAAATGGATATTTTTAATAACCTTTGAAGATGAGTCCAATAGAAGTTCTAAGAAAACACTGTTTTTGTTATGTAAAAACAAAATGCATTTTGTATTATCTTTTCTTCTTAGGACTTGTTGATTGATTTTCCTAAACATACAACCAACTAAGTGATGCATGATAATTTCTACCAATCAAAGTATTTTAAAGTTGTGGCTTCTTATGTTATCTCCTACACATGAAGATTCCCCTTCAAGTTAATTTATGCAAATATTTTATTTACATTGATTATATTTTTATCTATTTATTTATTTATTTATTTATTTATACAAGAATATGAACATTAAAATAAATCGTTTAATTGGTATTCAAGTGGTTCTATACTATCATTGTTCTCTAATGACTACATTTACATTATGAAATGATACGACTATCTTTTAAAAGCCACAAACTAATAGCTGATTATTATATAAGATTTTAAGTTTTCTTTAAAATATTATATAAATTATACTCCAAAGTCACATATTTAAAAAATAACAAAAATCAAAATAATCATCTATTCTTGTATTTTGCACTAAATGTATAATTAAATAAATAATTCTGATTATATAAAATTAATATTATTTTATAAAATTAATGATAAAACTATACATATATGAATCGAATTTTTTTTATGTTTATTTAAAAACCTCATGAATCATATTACATAGAAAGATAATGCATAATATATATACATACACATTGCTTACCAAGAGAATTTATGTGTTATTATTTGAAACTTAATATTTTATGTTATTTATTATTTGCATACTAATATTAAATATAAAATTCGCTCAACATAATTTCATTAAGATTTAATTACTACATTATAAATGATGAATTCATTTTAATTAAAACTTTTATGAACTCGAATTGAAAATCCAATTCATGTGTATTATTTATATTCAATGGTTTTTTGTGATTGATATTTTCATCTGGTGTGCTAAAATTAAAAAATTTGGTCAAATAATATCTGTCATTCTTTTATCAAATTTTTATATATTAATTTTAGGATCAATACACCAAATTGGTTTTTTTTAATTTTATGTTATAGTTAGACTATATGCTATCATTTTCTCTTTAGCTAATCATATTCAAATACTATTTTTTTTTATCAATATTATTATTCTTAGTATTTTAGTCACATTAATACTATTATCTGGTATTCAAATTTCAGACTTGGAAGCACATGGTTGTGTGTGTTTCGGTAAAAGAACCATATTTTGGTTTATAAATCCACTCATTGTAGAACAAGATTTATTTTCTTTTCAAATAATTAAATAAGTAAAAATCAAAGCCAACTTAAAATTGTAAGAATAATCATAAAAATAATCTACTTCATTAAGGTTATTGATAATTTACAAGCTTATTAATATTAATGCCTTAAATATATATATATATATATATATATATATATATACAAAATTTTTATATGACTATTACTTATAAATATATAGAATTAATATTAATATTAGATAAATACATTAAAAAAAAATTTAACAATTTAAGAAAGAAAAAAGATGAGTACATATGGTCACTTACTACTAATGTGTTGATATTACATTAAATTCTTTCAAAATTCTAAAAACAATTAATACATTAAAATTTAATTTTTTATTTCATGACTGAAACAAATAATTATATATTGTGTTTAAATTTAAAGTATATCACTTTATAATTCTAAATAACCAATATATATATATATTATAACAATTTATTATTATAATTTTGTATAAACATTAAGATCTTTATAATTAGTATGTTACATAATATTCATATATGATTGGTATAACAAATATTTATCATTCTACATCAAATGGTGTTTGAAGCAGTCATATAAAAAACATATAGCTAAATTTGTTATGAACTTAAATTCAATAGATCTAAATTATTAAACTCATTTTATAACTTTTAACTATATATTCAATATTAGGACAATTGTAGAATTGCTTATTCTTCAAGTTGAATTTTTTTCGTAATATTTTATTGAATTTTTCTTTAATTATAATAATTTTCTTATATCCAAAGCAAGTATTTTCTTACATTTATTCTTTTATGCTTTAATTTACATGGCATATTTAACAGTTATCTCTTGATAAATTTCAACAATAGTTTTTAATCTATATATATATATATATATATATATATATAATATGGTAAAACTTTTTTATCAAAATTAAGAGAAGAAAATAGTTATAGGTTTTATTATGATTTGCAATATCATTGTGATAATGACTCAAACTTTAATACAATGTTTTTATGACTATGCTGTTGCATTGTCTAACATTAACTTATTAACACTTATTTGAAAATTAAGTTTGAATGGTTTCTTTAATTAGGATTATTCATTCATCCAAGTATAAGTTTGCATGTAACCAAATTCCATACGATTTATTTTAATGTACTTCGATGTTGAGACAATAAGAACAAGTTCAAAATCCATAAATTACCTTTAAGAAAGTCTATGATTTTCTATCTGTGCTTGATTTCTATTAACATAATTTACTTCATATTACAAGTAATTTTAGTTATTTCTTTAAAAATTACATCATAAGAAAATTATTACCAATTATATTGTGATCAAATTGATATTTTTACTTGATTTTGTAAAAGATTATAATCAAACTATATATATATATATATATATATAGATATGTGCACATAGGGTATTGCTAATGCCACCACAATTTACCATCCACTTAATATATTTCTCTAGTTTGTTTTATTTTTATTCAAATAAAAAAATTGTTAAATTAAATAGTATGAAAGGTATTGAATAAAGATGGCAAGTGCTAATAGCAAAAACTGCAGTGACATTAACAGTGACATTAACAGCACTCTCTATATATATTGAGTTCATTGTTAAATAGTTTGATTTTGTGACATTCTACTATTTAATCAAATTTTAAGAAAAACAATCTTAAAAAATTACTTACTTATATATGTATGTTTTTTCAACGCCCTCATGCATGCCAAAAACTAGATTATAATATCAACTAATTTCTAGCATTCCTACACACTTGAAGAAGTCATTGTCTAAATCTCTCAAATCAGGCAACATTTTCATCGTCTGACTGATTTCTACACATTTAAACGTTTCAATCAATGGCAGGACTCAAGAAGCACTCCACAGCCAACGTGTTATGATATACAAAAATAAAAAAACACCCACAACACGCAAAATGAGTGAATTGAAACACACAATTCCGTAAAATAAATAAGGAAATTCTATCTTATCCAAATCATCACTTCGAACTGAAGGGTGTTTCAAATTAAAGGGTCCCAGTAACGTCCCCACATGGGTCCTGGCGGTTCTGTTCACCCCCGCAGTCTCCGTCAACGCGACTTCCAGAGCCTCCGTCGAATAACGACGAAGCCCCGGATTCTGTCAACGAGGAGAGGACGAATGTTGTTAGGTGGAAATCCGTCCACCAACTCACTGACCTACTATCGGTATAGTAGGGGGAGTCGGGGTTGGGGGGTTACCGCGTTCAATCAATCTTCGGTGGGGCGGGGCGGGGGGGGGTGGGGGCGGAGAAATGGAACAGAAGCAGCAGAAGCACGGCGCAGGCCCCGCCCGTATCTGCTCCCGACATTCGGGCCGGCCATGCGACTTCAAATTCGACGCACGCTTCAGGGATGCCAGCCCCCCGCATTGGGTAGAATGTCGGTCGGAATTTAAAAAGGCGAGGGTTGTATATCCCGTAATCGTGCATCCCTCAGGCCACTCTGTGAGCACAATTCGTCGGGTTGTCGTTGTTGGCTGAGACCAAGAGCGCACACAGTGCGGTACTCCGGGAGATAAATACGGGATTAGGGAATCCGTCGTCGTAATGCTGCTCTTAAAATTGACTGTGGAATGAAAGGAGTAGGTGCTGCGTGCTTGTAATGTAGTAAAAAAAACACTTCGAGAGGCTGTTAACGGCTTGATCGAAGAGTGCGTGGGCCCCGCGCATTTGCTTTCGTTTCTGGTACTGTCATGCCACCTTGCTACTGGTCCCTGTCAGCGAGGCGTGTTGTGTATGCGTTCTCTCGGAATGGGAGGCAATAAAATTGGTAGTGAAGGAATAGACGCCTCAGGAGTGATTTGAGAAGCAGTTCATACGCGCTGCATTGTGTGTGTGTGTGACGCGTTCTGTGTGAACGTCCGTCGGTATTCAGGTTGAGGAGGTACAGATGCTAGTGCCTGCATGTATTTAGAAAAACTCGCTTGGTATGATGGGTAGTGCCAAGAAATTACTCCTCACACAAGTTTTTTTTTGCGGATCCATCTGGTGAGATTAGATACAGCATACCTGAGTAACTTGCACTACTCATTCTGAGTCTGGCACAGTGCGGTGCCAATTAAGCCCCTTCTACGACTGGTGGGTAACTGCGGTGGGATGCTCCTCTCCTCTTTACACTCTCGGTTCTGGTTTTCAGATCTGTATGTCCAAGCACATATTCAATAGACGTAGTGATTCAGCAAGTTTGCGATGGGCACACCTACTGTGTCTGCTGTAGTTACGTTGTCATGTGTGATATGCAATTTTTAGATAGTACTAAATTACATGTCTTTACGTAATTACTCAGACATACAGATTGAAATGTTGCAAGAGATTGTTGGAGAACATATTGTTTCCAGTCCTTGAACGCCTTAGTGGAAGAATCTCTGATAAATGCGCACCGCTTCATTTTGAAGTCTGTTCATTCTACAGTTGTATACTGAGCTGTTAGAGGCTGATTTTAATTTGACCCTATCACCTATCGACGTAAGTTCCGTCGAAAGAACATCTCTCCCAGTAGTGGGAAAGTGACTCTTTTGGCTTGGGACCCTGTTTTGCAGTCATGGAAGCAAATTCCTTTGCCACATCGGTAGGAGCTGGTCGAGTTCTGGCTCAGCAACTGCGTTATGGCGGACCGCTAGATTATCCGACTATGTCACCCATGGACGGAACAGCAACACAAGAAGCTTTTCTCACTTGTCCGATGGTTTATGCCGTCATCACAGATATGAATGTTTTTGGCAAGGCCGATGCGGAATACGATCCTTACAATCAACACCCGCAAACATATCCAATGAATGCGCCCACCCTTCCTGCTTTCGTCCCCCTAACTCTCGGAAAGATGAAAGTTAAAGTTGAATGTCACATCAGCACGGGGTTTGTTACAATGAAGAGTACATGGCACGTGAATTGCATTCGAAGTCAAGCAAGTTGTGATTGCCTTCTTGCTCTACCTATGGACAATCAGGTATGTACTCTTTTCTGACAAATAGTATTTGACACATGCTCGAATCGTCAGAGTGGGCTCCACCCCACTATTTCTTGGCGAAATTATAGTAAGTTTGTAACAAGTTATGAATAGTTTCCTTGGCAATGCATTATTTGTTGTGCATGTTATCAGGAAGCTAGAGTTATTTCCAACTTAAAGATGGGATCTGAGGCTTAACCCTCTACTTCGTCGTCAGGACAAAGTTCGGAAGATGTCCACTTTCTAGAGGTGGATCACTGTCCAATCATTTAAAGGTACGAGGTTGACACTATGTTCAACAATCGTTCTTGTGGCAGGGTACAGTCTCAAGTGTCGAGATTGATATGGGTAATGATAGATTGTACACTACTACAGTAGTTCCTACTGAGGAAGCTGCTAGCTATGGTGCGAGAGGCAGCCCAGATGCGGAAGTGAGTGACCCTGGCGCATACAACCCTAAGCTTTATCGATTGAACATTCCACAGGCGAGTTCTTGTACCCCGCTTCATCTATGCGAACTCTTTCGACCTAGTCTGTTACGTAGCATGGTCATTGGTAACTGACACCAATGAACTTTCTAGATCTCCTTCTAGGATAATAATTATATGAATCGCCTCTACTATAATTTTGTGTTTAAATTGTTCGAACATGGCCTTTGCATTCTTTTTCGCAGGTGGAGGGTGGCACGAAATTGGAAGTGAAAGTTACATGGTTTCAATCTATGACATTCGACAATGGGATGTACTCATTGCGAGTCCCCCTTGTATTCCCTCAGGAGATTCTGCCTCTTGAAACACAATTGGTTTCCATCATAAAAGTCAAATGCGCTATCAACACAGGGACAAACGATTACGTAGTAGTGGGTGCATTCGGCAATTCTATGGAGGTTTGCACTTCATACTTATACCAGCCAGGAATTCTGATAATCTGCACTTCTTTCACTTTCGATGCATCCTTTATGGAATGTATTTGCCACGACAGCTGCAACAATTCGCAGTTTCAGTAACGTTTTCTCATTATACATTCCTTCAGCCATGAATCGTTGCAAAACGCAAAGACAATATTCTAGTAGAAGGGTTTGGTGTAGCCAGTTGTTGTACTTTCACATTGTGCTTCTTCGTAGCCTGAGAGATTTCTGGTTTCTTGGTCATGCATCAGGAAGCTGAAAGAGAGCCAGGAAAGGTGAAGTTAAAAAAGGACGGAGATGATTGGAAAAACCAGGATTTTATCGCTTCGTACAAGGTAAGTTGCGATTCACCTGCATGTAATGGGCTGTTTCAGTCCATATCTCTCATTTGCACCAGAATACAGGATTGTAGCTGAATGTTCTGCATTGGTATTCCCACTATATCATGTGATTACATGAGGGGCTGATTAGTTTGTCAACAGGTGTGGTCGGATGGAATATTTCCAAATTTAATTTATCAAGACGGAGAACCTGAAGAACTCGACAGTCGAGGGTCATTTTGCCTCTCGATATCTCCTCCAGATCCTAATAAGATCAAGGTATGCCTTGTACTCAAATTAATCTCTTGAATGGGCTGTTAAGCTCCTTTGCTGTCTTTATGCAACATGGCAAATCGTACCGATGTTTTTTCCGATGTTTTCAGTGAGGTCACTCGGCTTTATTTCATCACCTTTAATGCATAACACGGACTTTCTAACGCTTTCTTGATTCTACAATCTGTGTAATAATTTTGTAGAGTGAACATATTTTCCAAATTGGGTTGGCTTTGAGAAGTTGTAGAAATTTCTTACTTTTATCAAATTCAGCATTTAGTCCTGACAAACCCATGATGTGTTGATCTCAGGTATTTCAGAGGGCAGTGGTGTTTTTATTAGACAGGAGCGGAAGTATGTATGGCAAGCCAATTGAAGATGCTCGGCAGGCTCTCTTTTTTGCTCTAGATTCTCTCAAACCAGAGGATTCCTTTAATATTGTCGCTTTCGACCATGAACTTACTTTATTCTCTTCTCAAATGGAACGCGCGACCCCCAATGCTATCGGTTGGGCTCGTGAATGGGCAATGACGAATTGCACAGCCAGAGGTGGCACTGATATTCTAGGCCCACTGCAACAGGTACATTGTGTGCTTTGGTGTTGGTGTAATTCTTTGAAATGTTGCCCACAATATTTACGATTCCACCTTTCGTTTCTTTGGCTGAGCCTCACATTTGCTTCAATGTGCAGGCATTTAATTTCCTTGAAAATTTCCCATGGGCAGTTCCATATGTTTTTTTGATCACAGACGGCGCTGTTAGCGATGAGCAAAATATCTGCCTTGCAATGCAATCACGTATTGCTGCACTTGGTGTGAGGTCACCTCGTATTTCCACCTTTGGAATAGGTAGGTGGTCGTCTTGATGAGCTAACTTGAGAGTTTTGTCTTAGAAGATGCAGTTTGAATATGTCACTGGGTCGATTTGTAGGAATACTTTGTTCTTCATCCAGATTATACGCGGTTACTTGTGGTGAATATTTTTGTATATGTTTGTGGTGTATACTTCTGTTGGTACGAAGCCGGTGGCATATTCAACCAGGTTGAGAAACACTGATATTTCTAATTGACACAGTTGCAACTCTTAAGGAGAGGACGAAATCAATAGGAGTTCATTGGACCTAAAATTTATTTTATTTTTTTCATCTTGCAGGGTTCTACTGCAACTTTTACTTTTTGAAAATGCTTGCTGTTATTGGTCGTGGCATGAGCGACGTAGCATTTACATCTGGTATGCCATTTCTATTTCTTCTAAAGGTGTGGTAAAATTGAAATGTTTGTGCACGCCCAGGTCTTCTCTCATGTTTCTGTTTTCCTCAAAATCAGAAAGTACTTGTATTTATGAATTGACGCTATGCCCAGATAAAATTCGAAAACAAATGGAACGTATGCTGGTGGCTGCGGCTACTCCAGTTCTTACCAACCTTGGACTGGCAGGATTACCTGATGGTTGTGAGGTATTACACGTAACCCCTATAAGTTCTAACCTTCAAGGGCTGAAAATCTAGCTCAATTGTAATGTTCCGTGATACAATGCAATTATCCCGTGCTATAATGTAGCAAGTCTTTAGTGTACCTAGCAAAGTTAGTCTTACGTGGGCTTTCAAGAGATGGGTAGCGGTAAATATGACTCAGCTTGTGGTCTGCATCAACGAAGTTGAGATCTGTGGCCCTCATGACGAAATTCCTCAATATCATAATCCAGAGTTGGTGTCAGGTGTATCCATTTCCTATTGCAGACCTCTTTTGTGGTAACCCTTTGATAGTTTCTGGAAAATTCCATGGCGAATTCCCAAAATCTATTGTGGTTACTGGGCTCTTGCCCGACCAAAGTACGTGGCAGCTTGAGATTCCAAGCAGAAAAGACTCAAAGTTTCCTCTGAATAAGGTAAGAATCGAGGCCAGGCAGTGCATCTTGAACACTACTTTCCTCTCAAGTCACGTTTCGGATTGTAAGCTTCTGTGTGGAATTTTAAAATTGTGGAGATTGTCACATTAATTTTAACAATATGTATTAAATGTGAACTAAGTATATTGCTTGTTATGATTGTTTCCTTTGAATCTGTAATTATTCTTTCATATGCAGATTTTTGCAAGGCAGCAGCTGGATCTTCTCACTGGTCAAGCATGGTTATATGGTGACATGAATAGACAACAAGAAGTATGTGCACATTGATTCTCTCAGCTCTTGTCTCCGTACGCTATTTGCTGCATTTCTATCAAATACTACTGCCTCCTTGTGGTAAGAAAAACACTGATTTCATCTTACCTCCCTGTGGCAGGCTGTAAACTTAAGCCTAGCAACAGGCTTGCCGTGTCAATACACTCGGGTTATAGGCTTTGAGACAACCAGAGGGCAGTACGATGAATTTCAGAATGAGCGGAAACAGGTAATTTTACTGCTCTCTTTCTGAGGACAGTTATGCTAGAACCTTCATGATGCTTAGGAGATAACTTCTGGGATTTATCCATGTAATAGCTGGGTTCTAAGCTGTAGAACAAGTGTAGAAATCGCATGAATGTTCATTCGTCCCTCACATTTTCTCTTTTATCATTTGTGCCCTAAGTTTTGTGGGGGTGAATCAGTTACACAATCGTGCTAACTCATTGATACATAACTAGTGCTCGCTTACAGGTTTCAAATTTTGTTTCCTAAATTGAAACAGTTCAGAGGTGAATTTGCATGGGTTTTTGTATTAACTGCGGCTTTGAATTATGCAGGGAAAGAAGACGAACATCAATAAGTTCACTGCCGGGAAAGTTGCCGCTATAGTGCTCGTTGCGGGTCTGGTTATTGGATTTGGCAGTGTAGCTGCTACATTAGCAAATTCAGCAGTTGAGGAAACGGCGGAAGAAGCTGCTGGTGGTCTTCTCGAAGAGGGGGGTGGTGAAGTTGCAGAAGAGGATTGTTGTTGTGGTGACTTATGTGGGAGTCTTTTCAGTTGCATCAGCGAGCTTCTCGATTTCTAAACGGACAGTCATGTGCTGAAATTCGACAATTTGAAAGCTATTGACTACTGCCGCATCAGGCTAGTTGCCGATGCACGAAAAACTGAAAGATCCTATGATCGGATTCTTTTAGTTCATAACAGTTTTTTTCTTGTAGATTGATACATGTAACAAGCTTCGTAGAGGGAAAATTTTCTAGTCACGTCATAATATTGCGGCTAGTTGTCAGGTGGTTTGGTAGTGAGAACTGTACCCGAAATACGGTTCGAAATGGAGTTTTAGATTGGAATTGTACTCGATGCATTGTTAGATAGAAACAGCCCACAATCCTCTTAGAAGCTCTACATCGTTAAACTAATTAATTGTTTGCATACACTATGTGGTACACATTGTGAACCTTAATACTTTCTCGAATGAACCGTTCTATTGTTGAAAACATTACATGCATGACGTCCAGCTAGGAAGAGCTAGATACTTGAGTGATCAAATTGGTTAAGCAGATACTGATTGCAATGATTTTAATTAACTCAATGATCAAGGATGTTATGACCCATGGCTTTAAATCCTGCTTTAAACCCGCACAAAGCTTTGTGCATGATTATGTACTCTTTGATTTATGCAATAAATGCAAAAGCTCTTTCTTGCAGTAAAACATTGTGTATAGAAGGTCGGAGCATTTGAGATTTCTTCTTTACTTTTAACAAGTTATGGGCCCAGCGTCTTGCTGTCTCTCTTGTGAGACATATCTGCTTTCTAAAAAATTAGCTTAAGCCAAAAAATAGATACCATTGTTAGCTATTTTTCAAGTTTAGTTTTATCTCTCTTGATTTGTGCACTTACTTGCTCATGCACAAGATTGTTTTTTTTGCAAGAGACAAATTCAAAGTTCTCTTTTTCTTTTGCTTAAACCTATCCTTCTTTTTTTTGCTGTGATGGAAGAAGAGATTTGCAATGAACCTCATCATGCATAGCCTTTGCTTGCCTAGGAAGAAACCTTGGATGGATCTGTTTGAAGTCAAACCCATGCTAGTCTACCACCTTTTATTGCACATCCCCCAGACAAGACTTTGCAAGTGTTGGTATCACATACATAGATAAACTCACACGAGAAAACTTTCTTGTTTGGAAATTTTATATGAGTATCTCAGTGCAATGAAGCTGCTAAGCATTGTAAATGGCTCAACTCTGAGAGAATTATTTATTGATAAAGAAGAATATGCTCACAAGGATATTACTTGTCAATCTTTCTTCATTTTTGCTGTAAATAAAAGATTCATGCATAGATTAATAAATTGTCAAATATCTAACCAAATGTAGCATTGCTTATGTACAATTTATGAACAAAATACTTCAAAAAATATACAATTGATTTTGCCAACTACTTTCAACCTTAGATAGCATTTCAAGACATGAACAAACTATCAAAGTATTGACATTGTACTTGCTCAAGAAAGAAAGCACAAATTGCATTTTGAAATGTATGAATGACAAAGAAGAGAAAGCCATTTTTTCTAGTCAAGGCCAAGATTTTATTCTAAGCCATAAGCCTCTCTTTGCAAAAGAGAAGAAGAAGTAATCTACCACAAATGATAAACTTAAGAAGAAAATAAAGTATAGAAAGTATAGCAAAAAATGACATTAGGAGAGTAATTGCTCTAATGACAAGAAAAATAGAAAATTTAAGATAATAAAAGGTAGAATTATGGACATAAAAAGTTGCAAAGCAAATATTGTTGTAATTGAAGATTTTAATGAAGATAATAGCTTAGCATTCATAGCTTATGTTAATGACTATATAGATAATGTAGATGTTTGGTACATAGATAAAAGTTCAATCAATGATACAACTGATTGTTTAGATTGGTTTGCTTTTTTTAAGATCATACCTTAGAGACAATGGTTTGTTATGATTGCAAATAACAAATGCCTTTAGGTACAAGGAGTTAACTATATCAAAATTCAATATAAATTTGATTATACTTAAAAGGTCCAATACATCTATAATGTCTTTTATGATCCAAAATTACAAAAGAACTTATTCTCTTTAAGCCAAACAATAGACAAAGGTTTTACTACTTATATACAATACACATACTATCTCACAAGCAATGATAGACACAAAAAAGTGGTATTGATATGATTTTGTGAAAACAAGTTATATAAGTTGGAGGTAAGGATTAATAATCAAACTACCCAAATAAACATTGTTACATCATATAGCATGAGTGAAAAAATCAAACCATGTAAGGTACCAACAAAAAAGCTCATTCTATAGCACCAATATTTTAGCCATGTAAATAATATTATGATTGTGTACATGCAAATGTATGGTGCCATTCAAGGATTAAAGCTATTAAGTCATGTGACTCTTCAAAATCCTTGTAAAGACTATAATATTAGAAAGAATACTAACTAATATTTTTCAAAATAAAAATTATTACCAAGGGCTAAAAAATTTAAATTCTTCTTCTCTATTGATATTTGTAGACCAATAAATTAAGAATTACTAATAAAAGCTTAATACTTTGTCATCTTTATAGATGACTTTTCAAGATACTACATAATTCACTACATTTGCCAAAAATTTGATATGCTTTTAAGATTCAAGGATCTATACATTTTTATTTTCTGATAGATATGAAATTGCATCCAAAAGCTACAAAGTGATTGAAGAAGAGAATTTTTAGGTAGAAGTTTCATAAAAATTTTAGTTAATTTTTTTATTCAAAATGAGCTCACAAGCCTTCACAATTCAAGGCAAAATAGAAGTATAGAATTAGAAAATTGTACTTTAGTACTTTAGTCAAATATATATAAGTGATACTACATGCAAAGAATCTCAATTTAAGTCTTTGGAAAGAAGTGCAAATTGTCACTTATCTACAATACTATATAGCCTCTTATATAAAAGACTATAAAACTCTCCACAAGCTTTGGGCTAGGCAAATATCTATAGTTACTCATTTGTAAATTTTTGGATAATGTATCAAAAGTATACAAAAAGAAGATGAATTCAAAGAATGTAAAAACTATCCTTCTTGATTATTGAATTAATATAAAGACATATTATCTTTAGAATGTAAGTATATTTTCATTCCAAGAGTCATTTGCTAAAAATTCTTTAAGCAAAGATATTATAGTGTCTACCATGGCAAATCCAATTTATAAACAAAGTGCAACATTTACAAATACTCAAATTTTTGAAGAGCTAGAAATGATTGAGTCTAACAATGAGCAATACACATACTCACAATCTCCTTCACATGCTTGAAGTTAGATCACCAATACCATGTACCAACTTGTATCAAGGATAACTTCATTGCCAATAGAATTAGCATCATGCCCCTTCTGCATCCATAATGCACCTATTTACTTCTAAGACTATATTTTTTTCTTCTTATTTATTGGTCTTATGTCTAATGTGTACATTTCTAATAACTCAAATACATATGACTTACAAAATAATAATACACCATAAAAATTGAGTATAATTTTTTTTCTTCAGAATGGTACTTGGCTTCTTATATCTTTTCTCTCTAATCACAAACTAATAAAGTGTAAGTGATTTTATAGAATAAAGACAAATTTTGATGGATCTATGACAGAATTTAAGGAGTGTCTTATTACAAAAGGCTATACCTAAAAATATAAAGTAGATTATGATCAAATCTTTAGTTTTATTATGAAGTATGAATTTATTATAATAAAGCTTACTATTGTTGTACAACAAGACATGACCATTGTCCAATTTGACATTCAAATTGTACTCTTCTATAGATTTTTTAATATAAAAATTTACATGGATTAATCTCAAGATTTTAAGGTTACAAATCTATATGTATCAACTATTTTGTATTAATTTTTTAAAAGCCTATATAATGTGAAGTAATCAATATATATTTAGAATCAAATATTCTATGATTTTTTCATAAAGTTTGATTTCAAATTGATTGAAGATAATTCATGTATCTATATCTTAAAGACAAAACCTTGCTTCATTATCATATTTTTTGTAGATAATAGACTTGCTATTTTTTCATCACTAGTACGGCTTAAAGATCTTGTATGTTATATGGAGGAACATTTTTCTATTATTCACTCCAATACAAATCTCTATGTAGACTTGCATATCTTCTATCAAAAAATTAAAGAACACATTTTCATCCATCAAAATATTTATCTTTGCCACATCATAGCTTATTTTAGTTTTAGTAATTGCACTCCTTTGAGCATCTCTATAGATCCAAATACAAAACTTTACAATAACAACAAGTTTTTCCTATCAATTTTTTTCTACTTTGCTACCATGGAATATCTTTTCTATGCTCAAACACTAATCCTCCGGGATGTTAGTTATGTTGTAAGCTTGGCTATATAATTCTCATTGAATTCCTAACAAAAAAATTATTAATATATCATGTATATATTCTGCTACCTTGCAAGTACCATGCATCTTGCTCTATATTTCAATAATAATAATGAATCTATACTACTTAAAGGATATAGAGTTACAGACTATGTTGGTGATATCACTAATCAAAAATCACTCACTAACACATTATTGTTTTTAAATGGTAGCATAGTTCATTAATATAGTTGAAAATAAAATTGTGTGGCTACTTCCACAACTAAATTTGAGTATATTGTAGTTGGTTTGACACCCAAAGACATCATATGGCATTGCCAATTACATATAAATTTGTGTTTTCAACCAATTCAAGTAATGCGGCTTTTATTTTACAATCAAAGTACCATACACTTAATTCACAATCTTGAGTTCTATTGTCATACAAAGTATATTGGTATTATTTAATATTTAATCCAAGAGCATCAACAACTTCAAAATATTAACATTCAATATATTTCAACCGTAGATCAATTGGCAGATTTCTTGACAAAAGTCCTTTTCTTTGATAGTTTTTCTTTGCTTTCAAAGTCCATTGATCTGCTTCCATTATCCATAGTAACACATTTAGACTAATTATTTTTATATTATTCCAATGCTATAATTTTCTAATATTATAAACAATTGATTTAAAGATGGATGTTAAAAATATTACATATGTAACCTCTAGTTAAAAAAAACTAGACATTTGAGTATTTAGATATAAGATCAAATTTGATCTTATATCTGAGATAATAATCATGTTAATTAATTCAATGATGAAGGTTGTTACAACCTATTATTTTAAATATACATAAAGCTTTATACATGATTATGTACTCTTTGATTTATGCAATAAATACAAAAGTTCTTTCTTGTAATAAAACATTATATGCACAAGGTTGAAACAATTGTGATTCTTTTTTACTTTCAAGAAAGATGTTGCAAGAATAAAAATGTTGAAGCCATCCAAAAAGAATAGAGTGAAGCTGTTGATGTTTCAATTTGAACAACCATTTGTTACTTTATTGTAATATGTATTATCTTGTTTGGAAAT